CCCCCCCCCCCCCCCCCCCCCCCCGCCCCCTCCCCCCCCCCTCCCCCCCACCAAACCACTCCCCCCTCCCCCCGCCTCTCCCCCAAACCACTCCCCCCTCCCCCCTCCCCACCAAACCACTCCCCCCTCCCCTCGCCTCTCCCCCAAACCACTCCCCCCCCCCTCTCCCCCAAGCCACTCCCCCCCTCCCCTCCCCTCTCCACCAAGCCACTCCCCCCCCCCCCCTCTCCACCAAACCACTCCCCCCCCCCCTCGCCTCTCCACCAAACCACTCCCCCCTCCCCTCTCCACCAAGCCACTCCCCCCTCCCCTCTCCACCAAACCACTCCCCCCCCCCCCTCCCCTCTCCCCCAAACCACTCCCCCCTCCTCTCCCTCCCCCCAAACCACTCCCCCCCCCCCTCTCCTCTCCACCAAACCACTCCCCCCTCCCCCCCCCCCCACCCAACCACTCGCCCCCCCCCCCTCGCCTCTCCCCCCAAACCACTCCCCCCTCCTCTCCTCTCCCCCAAGCCACTCCCCCCCCCCCCCTCTCCCCAAACCACCCCACTCCCCCCTCCCCTCGCCTCTCCCCCAAACCACTCCCCCCCCCCCTCTCCACCAAACCACTCCCCCCCCCCTCCCCACCAAACCACTCCCCCCCCCCCCTCTCCTCTCCACCAAGCCACTCCCCCCTCCACCAAACCACTCCCCCCTCCCCTCTCCACCAAACCACTCCCCCCCTCCCCTCCCCTCTCCACCAAACCACTCCCCCCCTCCCCTCTCCACCAAACCACTCCCCCCCTCCCCCCCCTCTCCACCAAGCCACTCCCCCCCCCCTCTCCACCAAACCACTCCCCCCTCCCCTCGCCTCTCCCCCAAGCCACTCCCCCCCCCCCTCTCCACCAAACCACTCCCCCCTCCCCTCTCCTCTCCACCAAGCCCACTCCCCCCCCCCCTCTCCACCAAACCACTCCCCCCTCCCCCTCTCCACCAAACCACTCCCCCCCCCCCTCTCCACCAAACCACTCCCCCCTCCCCTCTCCACCAAACCACTCCCCCCCCCCCTCTCCACCAAGCCACTCCCCCCCCCCCTCTCCACCAAACCACTCCCCCCCTCCCCCTCGCCTCTCCACCAAACCACTCCCCCCTCCCCTCCCCTCTCCACCAAACCACTCCCCCCTCCCCTCCCTCTCCACCAAACCACTCCCCCCCCCCCCTCTCCATCAAACCACTCCCCCTCCCCTCTCCACTCCCCCCTCCCCCAAACCACTCCCCCCCTCGCCTCTCCACCAAACCACTCCCCCCTCCCCTCTCCATCAAACCACTCCCCCCCCCCTCCCCTCTCCACCAAACCACTCCCCCCTCCCCTCTCCATCAAACCACTCCCCCCCCCCCCTCCCCTCTCCATCAAACCACTCCCCCCCCTCCCCTCTCCCACCAAACCACTCCCCCCCTCCCCTCGCCTCTCCATCAAACCACTCCCCCCCTCCCCTCTCCACTCCCCCCTCCCCTCACCATCAAACCACTCCCCCCTCCCCTCACCTCTCCACCAAGCCACTCCCACTGACTGCATCTTTAATTATCATTGACCCTCATTAGCATAAGCATTCATATTTAAAATCCCAATTAAACACCAGGCTCGAGGATCTACTCAAGCGTTTTGTTTTTTAATGCTAACTGTTTTGTCTGTAAGCATTAAAAACAGGGTGGAACGAGCCAATTGAGAGAGAGAGGACAGTACCCCCCACTCAAACTTCTTACCAGCAGATTGTCACAGATCCCGTTAGCCATCTTTGCTAGTGTGTTAGCATCCAGGGGAGCGATGAGGAAGAGGTGTGCCCAGCGCCTCAGCTCGATGTGCAGCACTGGGTCAGAGCGACGCGTCCACAGCTGCAGTTTAGCACTTTAGTTTAGTCTCCTCTGGTTCTCACATCTACTCTAACAAAATATAATCACAAATAAACAACAGCTTTACCTCCCATTCGTCAGAGTCGCTGTAGATTCTCACTGGGACGTCTGCAGGACTGTAGAAGTGCTTGGCGTGTTCTGTAGTCACCACTTTGACTTCCACCTATTGGTATAGAAGCAGAGTCACAAGTGTATAAATAGATGTATATTGTTCCACAGTTCGAGCTATATCTATACTGTATATTGATAGAATGGGAGGTTAAGTTTCTATCTACGAGAAAGGGGTGAAGAGGAGGCAAGATCCAAGGCACACTGGTCGAATGAAAGCCCCTTATTATTGAAATGGATGTGTTTAGACGGTGTTGGTCATCCTCAGGGCGCGTCAAAATCATGTTGATCTGATCCTGCTGTGACCCAATGAAGCCCTCCCTCCTGCTGGATGTGCTCGGGGCCCCTGAGCTTGTTGTTATAATGTGTCATTCTTGTTTCTCCTTTTCCCCCTTTTGTTTGTTCAAGGTTAATGTCTAAGGAGACGAATCTAATCTAGGATGTTCTTGCAGACTGATCTCCAGTGTTAGAGTAGATGGAGAGCTCAACACAGTGACAGCAGAGGAGAACGAGAGAGGACTGAACTGAATGCAAATAACCTTCACAGGGAATAATATGTAGTCATGTGTTCCTTAAACACTCTACTACCAGAGCAGGCAGTATGACGGCACACACCAGACTCATTCTAATGTGGGTGAAGTGTCTTGCCTAAGGACACAACCACAGTTTGGGACTTTACTGTACAGTCGGAGCAGCCCCACTGTCGCACCTGGTGTTCTCAGAGGTCTCCCATCACAGCACTAACCAGGCCCTGCCCTGCACAGCTTCAGAGGTCTGGCTTTCACCTGCAGGTATGGCAACATATAAGTAGATTCTGTCTATGTCATTAACTTTATGAAATTATCTCGATATTAGACGGGTCCTAGACTGGTTCAGAGCAATCAGCCTGGAGCCAGTCCTAGTTACCATAGCAACACAAGGCCTATTTCACGGTTGACGTCACAATGTGGAAGTAAACGAGATGTCGGGTATGAGCACTTCCGATGCGCTGTTGCTGTAAAGGACGACAAGAATGGATTCGGCCAGCGCGACGAATTTCTCCAAATCCTTGCGGAATTTGCCGAAAATGACGACGGTGGACGTGATACGGACGTCATCTGAGATGTCACTTACACAATGTTCAAAATTGGAAAAGGGCTACAAGTTGATTGTGGAAAAACCTGTGTTCAACAATGAAGGTAAGTCACCATTTGTCTGACGGATCTGTGCTCAGTGCTGTGTTAAACGGTGTTTTGTTCTCAATATGACAAGTTTTAATTAGCCTTAGTTCATTTACACTTGGAATTTGAGCTAAATAAGAGTAAACAAATAGTTGAACTAACTAAACAGGTTTTTACCAATATTAAGGAAATGCTTCTCCGACCTGCCTTGTATTATCAAATGTTACCGCTAAACACAAAACACTGCTCATGATAGTTTTGTCAAAGGACAACCACCTGCTCACATTTACATAAAGTAATGGAGCAGTGAAAATACGCTTTTGCTGAGTCCACCAAAACAGTTTGATAATGCTATACTGTCAGCACGAGCATCATAAAAAATATATAGTTAGAGTTGAAATATATAGTATGTATATTGTTGATCACTTTCATGTTTCAAATTTTGTTAAGTGAAAATGATAATTTTCACTTAACATTCTAATATTTATGAAGTATAAAGATTTTTTTGTTATATATATTTTGTGTTTTATTGCGTATTATATGTATATGTAGTGTCAGGAATAGTGGGAGAAGTGGAAGTTCGGGCAAGATGCTAAAGGTCCATGAGGAAGAGTGAGGTGCCACAGAACCTACAGGTTTACTGTGAAAGGTCCATGAGGACCAGTGAGGTGCCACAGAACCTACAGGTTTACTGTGAAAGGTCCATGAGGAAGAGTGAGGTGCCACAGAACCTACAGGTATACTGTGAAAGGTCCATGAGGACCCGTGAGGTGCCACAGAACCTACAGATTTACTATGAAAGGTCCATGAGGACCCGTGAGGTGCCACAGAACCTACAGGTTTACTATGAAAGGTCTATGAGGAAGAGTGAGGTGCCACAGAACCTACAGGTTTACTATGAAAGGTCCATGAGGAAGAGTGAGGTGCCACAGAACCTACAGGTTTACTATGAAAGGTCTATGAGGAAGAGTGAGGTGCCACAGAACCTACAGGTTTACTATGAAAGGTCTATGAGGAAGAGTGAGGTGCCACAGAACCTACAGGTTTACTATGAAAGGTCCATGAGGAAGAGTGAGGTGCCACAGAACCTACAGGTTTACTATGAAAGGTCCATGAGGAAGAGTGAGGTGCCACAGAACCTACAGGTTTACTATGAAAGGTCTATGAGGAAGAGTGAGGTGCCACAGAACCTACAGGTTTACTATGAAAGGTCCATGAGGAAGAGTGAGGTGCCACAGAACCTACAGGTTTACTGTGAAAGGTCCATGAGGAAGAGTGAGGTGCCACAGAACCTACAGGTTTACTGTGAAAGGTCCATGAGGAAGAGTGAGGTGCCACAGAACCTACAGGTTTACTGTGAAACTCTGTTTACTGCTGTTGCAGTTTGTTCTCATCCAGTTGATAAAGTTGCTGCTGTTGCAGCGAGTTCTGTTTTCTCTTCTGCGTTATTGTCTGTTGTCCTTCTACATGTTCTGTGTGCGCCTGCTAATGGCGACATTGTGACTGATGTGTTTTTTTCCTCTGCTTTTTGTTCCTTGCCAGTCTTTGTGCTTGCTTTGTTTTCTGCTCTTGCCTGCACTGCTGCTTCATCTTCAACTAGTTTCTGACCTGTTTATTGTCCTTGCTCCCACCTGCTCTGCTGCCAGATGTTTAGATATACTTGGTTACATGTGTGCACTAGTAAGACATAATCTAATCGTTGACAACTGGACCAATGTTGAACTTTGCATATTAAGGATTAAGCAAGACTGACTCTGGAGTGTTATGTTTTTGAAATGTTCTTTTCCACTTTTGTTTGCAGATCAACTGGCGGTCAGTGGCCTTGAGTGGTGCGACTTTGTGACAGACACATACACTCAAGTCACAATTCACAGGATCTGGAGAGATGAAGACACAATCATTGCTATGAGGGAGCAACGTGACATATTCTGTTTGGAAACGTTTATAAATGTTCTGTTGGCAGAGACGTGAACACTTGTTAGTGCATCATCAGTTCATCACTCCTGTTCAGTGGAGCAAGTGAATTAAGTTTAATTTGAGTGCAATTACTGTAGTTACTTTGCATATTAAGATACCTAATCATTGTGTATCATGTGTATTTCTGTAACCACTCTGTTGTAATAAGTTCATTCTGATCTAAAGAGTTGATTATTTTGCAAACATTGATTTTCTGAAGTAAAAGAGTTTATTTACTCCACAGCTTTCATGAAAAGATTCGTGATGTTTATTTACAACATTCAATATTGATCAGACAGCAATGGCAATCGATTACAAAGTCAAAGACAGTAAACTCAAAGACTATATAAGAGTATATTTACATTTCATTTTATTTATGCTTTTTTTGTAGTTGAAGAAAATCTGAACAAACAAATCAAGACGCAATGAAAGTATGAATCAACACAGACAATACAGATGGTGACATTAGATCGTGTTGCCCAAATGCAGTTATTGTGGATACAGAGAACATGGATTACCTAAAACAATTAACTCCATTTACTATTGCGATGCTGATCAACTGAAGTTTAAATCTAACTACAGTGGTGTAAAATACATGTTGTTCTTGATTGCCAAAGTTAGACGAAACAAAAAACATTTAAAATAATATAAGTATAGAACATTACACTGGCTTGTCATGTTTAATATCCAAAGGTCCTTGGTCGTGTGTTAGCAAGCAACAAACTGCCCAAAGTTGGTTGATGGTGCCAGTCAAGGAGAGGGGCATAACGCTATCCCAGATATGGTACTCCTTCACTCTGCGTATTGCCCTCTCCACGAGCACTCCGAGACGAGCAATCAGGTTTTATGGGCATCAGCAGCAGAGAGTTGGGATGTGGTTTTAAAAGGTGGAATGATTAAGTGTGCACCAATTTGTGACAACTCTTCCTCAATGACAAAACCCTTGTCAGCCATGACTCCATCTCCATAGGAGAGCAGTTGCAATAGACCACATCTCATGGTGATTTCTTTGTCCGAAATTGAGCCAGTGTACAGCTTTGACACAAACGTAACAACTCCACAGGGAGCGATACCAATATAGGTCGAAAATGTTTCTGATTGTAAGGTAAGGGAGGCTGGTATCTCACAACGCACCTCAGTACAGTCCACAATCACACGCACATTGGGGCAGTACTGGCAAAATTTGTCTGGCATTGTAGCTTGTACCTGAGCTCTCGTCATCCAAACTGGCTCTGCCCCAAGAACTTGAAACAGGTAGTTTGCCCAAGTGATGACAACACGACTCACTGTCGAGACACTGATGTCAAAGATAGAAGCCACTACTTTTTCTTTCAGTCCTGCAGCAATATGACAAAGGAAAAGAAAACATTCATCTATCAGAGGGAGTTTGCGTTGAAGGGCAGGACCCTGTGCCATGCTCTTTGCCCTTGTCCAGTAGACCATCCTAGAAGCAGATGGCTGCAGAGCTTCCCAAAACGCTATGAAGACCTCCTCTGACGGGAATCGGTGTAAAAACGGAAATCGCTGTCAGAGGCACAAAAGCGGTGGCACTTAGGTTGCTTTAGTCGTAGAGTCATCTCTGTCAGTTGTAACTGTAGTTGCTGCAGTTGCGACTCCAGCCTCTGATTTCCTTCTGCCAGTGCATCAATGAATCCTTAGGAAGAACAAGTACAATCTGATTAAGTCAGGAGAAAATCATAAAATATATCAAACTTTATTTATATAGCTCTTTTCATACAAATTGTGACACACAGACACACACACGGTTAATGAAATAAAAAGCACTTCTAAGGAATACATTTATAATAGAATACATTAACGTAACTTAAAATGTACTTACCGGGTTTGGGGGGAGTAGCATAGTCGTGGTCAGCACTGTCAGCTCCCTCGCTCTCAGCTGTTTCCTCAGTGTCTTCCTCCTCAAGGAGATTGACCCCCAGCCTCTCGCTGGCTCTCTCATACACTGACCGGCGATGAGGGGGATTAAAGTTGTTCCAAGAAAATTGTGATGGTATTACACCTTTCTTTAAACGTTGACGACCCTTTGGAGTGGTGTAAATATCATCAGCCTGAAAATGAAGGCTACACACGTAGCTACTGCCACGAAGCACTAAAAAGGTGGCAACCAAATCTCTACGAATCGCTCTCACCCAGGCCGATCGAGTCACTTTCTCGGTTGGAAATTAGTTAAAACTAAGATACAGCTGATGCTGTTTGTTACCTTTACAAAAAGGTACACTACACCAACATTTCCAGCTAGATTGAGCCATTATTTTGCAGATTGTACAGGATCCGCTAGCAACCGGAAGTGCTCATACCCGACATCTCATTTACTTCCGCATTGTGACGTCAACCGTGAAATAGGCCTAATACATAGTTCCCACATGACGTCACTACATACGGGGATTTGCCGACCCGGCGCCATTTGTGCTGGCATTCTGTGGGCAAAACAATAGAAGAAGAAGCTGAAACGTGTTAATGTCGTGATAAAGTTGAAAATGGTCGTCTCCTGCTGGGTCAATGGATGTTCAAATCGTGCCGGAGGTTCCGTTAAACTTGGATTTTACAGTATACCCATCATTAGACTTCATGAATGTGAGAAGACTAAGCTTTTGTCTGAACAACGACGGAGGTTCTGGCTTGCGAAGATAAACAGGCAAGAAACTCCCTCAAAACACGCAAGAATATGCTCGGAGCACTTTGTGTCAGGTGCGTATCGTATCTTATAATGTGTTGACAGACGTAATTTACTCAGTACTAACTTGTGTATGCTGATATCTGGTAACTTGAGAGTTTCATTTAGATTACTTTATTATGAGCAGGATCGGTGTCGCGTCCGAGGCTCTCGAGGGCAACGTAAATGTATTAAATAGATAATAATAGTTCTATGGTGGGCTAAAACAATGTTCACAAACAGCATTGCTTCTGTAAAAAGATCTGTGTCATAAAATAAACTGCTCTTTACGCCTGGAAAAATCAGTTGCCCACCATTCACCAAAACATACGGTCAAAAACGCGGAAATAAACAATAACAGCAATCCAGAGTGTCCGTGTGGCATTAGCATTAATTAAATTAATTGTTAATATAATTAAAATAATTAAATGGAGCTCCAATTGGTATTAAATCTAAAGTTTTTGAGAAATGTTTGCATTGCTTGTTAATTTTTGCTGCATAATTTGATCAAATATGTAAAACATGTCCGTAGCACGTTAAACTGTGGTGCCATTGTATTAACTCACTGACTGCCAGGCATTTTCAGATTTGAGAAGTGCATTCTGCCAGCAATTTCAGGTGATTTGACCCAACTTTGAAGTGCCACAGAATATTCATTTTTTAGACGATGTAAACACCAAGGGCACCAAATTAAAGATTCACCTCTCTGCTTTACTCTGAAAAAAACAGTTTGTTTCTACCTCTTACCGTTCTTGCGTTATTTGCCATAGAACAAAGCATACTTTCACCCATAACACCTGGTCTGAGCAAGAAAACAGAGGAAACGAGCTGCATGTAAACAGGAACATATCAAGCAGAAAAGAGACTTTAGATGCATTTTTGCTGCTTTAGTGACAACTCAAAACATCTCCACACTTGTTCCATTACAAAAATTATAAAAACATGACTCTGAAATAATACTTTTGATGGCAAATTGTTGGCAATTTATTCACAGATAGAAAATTTAACTTTCTTCTATACCATCAACCAAAACGTCAAACAACAACAACACAAAGATCAATAAAACTATAGATGTATAAAATAGAATGAAGCATGTGAATTTGAGTGTGTGTGTGTGAATGTCAGTGTGCGAGTGAGTGTCTGTGTGTGGAATGAGTGTCTGTGTGTGTGAATGTCAGTGTGCGAGTGAGTGTCTGTGTGCGTGAGTGAGTGAGTGAGTGCGTGTGAGTGTGTCCGATAAATCATGATCAGGTTCTCTGAACGAATCCGAGGCATCAGTAACAGCAGCAGCTGATACGCTGCGAGAGGCGGAGGGTGTGTCTCTGCTCGGGGCTCTTGCTCCACGCAAATATGGCTGCAAAGACGGACCTCCACCGGGGTCTCCGCTCTCTCCCCTCTCGACCCCACTCACTGATCCGCGAGTCAATCTCTGAAGCAGTGTCAGCTGCTTATAACTATTCTTTTTCGCCATCACTCTTGCTATACTATCGCTAAACTAGATCGCTGATCCGTCTCAATACTACGCTATCATCGCTCTGCTACAGCAGCACGCTGTCCAAAGACCCCCACTCCTCCTCCTTCTCTCCACTGACTTATGACCTCTCCTGTGGTGCAATACTGCATCCTACTGGTGGTGATTTATCATTACAGGTACATTTGCACTATATATCAGTGTTGTGGGTCATTCACAAGGTGCGCCAGACATTACTGCAGCCTCCCGTGTAATAACACGGAAAACTCGTCATACTCGTCATGGGCAGTGAGCGTCACTATTCAACATGACGAGTTTTGTCGTCATGGGCAGTGAATGAGTTAACAACATTTAATGATTTTAATGCTTTGTCTAGATCCACATTACACACATCAGTTTTGTCCTGTATTGTTAAATGTTATAACAGCAAATGTAATCAAAAGATTGTTATGTAGGGTGAAATTGCTAGCTCTACAACCAACCCTCCTCCTTTATCCGGGCTTGGGACCGGCAAAGTGACCCAAAAGACACACTCTGGCAGAGTTACTTAGGTTTATTTTTGTAAGTTTTTTTTTTTTTTCATAGTTTGGCATAACAAATGATTTAATGTGACCCACTACTGAGAGAAAACAGAGTCACGGACAGAGCTGCCGCGGATGGAGTGGGGGGTAGTGGGGGGTAGTGGGGGGTGGCGGTGGTAGGAGTGGCCGGGGAGCTTTGGATGTGTGGTGGTGGTGGAGCT